TCGGAAGAGACGTCGAGTGATCCGCGACACTGGCTCAGAGGGAGATAAGTCCGAGGATAAACGGAACGTGGTGTCGGACGCCACCGCGAAAATTGAGCGCGGACGCGGGGACGGCGAGTGCGCGAAGATTACCGGGTCGTGTAGTGCGGTAGTGCGGGAAACGGCCCGGCGATCACAACTTCGTGTGATTTTAGCGCGGCTAAACCCGATGAGCCAGAGTGAGAGGGTCGATTACAGCGTATGCAGCAGTGAATCACACGCGGACGATAAGCAGAGGCAGATTTCGCGTGTGTACGAACAGCGGTGCGGACGGTCGAACGGTGTTGGTGAGGAGGAGACGAGCAAGACGACTACCCGCAACCCAGGTACGAGACTGACGGACGCTTGCGAAGTATACCAACTTTGCTCGGGCGAGAGTTCGCGACGTCGGGAGATGGAGCGGGAATCGAGGGCGAGTGAGACGGACAACGGAGATCGGCGCAGCGACGACGGGCCGCCAAGGAGTTCGACGCCGAAGAAAAGGGACACTCCGGGGATGTCTACCGAGATTGCCGGGGCACCACCTGCCCCGGGGGACGAGACTCCCCTGGAACAACTATCGTTCCAACAGTTACGCGAGAGACTCGAGGCGGCGTCGGAGACGATAACGGCGCGGAAGCGTTTCCTCGAGCACAAACTGATGTTGCGAGAGACGCTTGAAGGGGTTGAGCAGTTCGTCAATGGAATTCCCCCGGGGGAAACTTATACCCGGGAGGAGTATCGGCGGCAGATGATCGACACACGACGGGTGTTGCAGCGTATAGTGGACTGCAATCGATTTGGCGGACGGATGGTCAGGGTGATGCCGGACATCCGCGTTCCTAGCGACGTTAGAGGGGAGCCGGACGTCGCGAAGGTAACGGTGATCACCACGGCGGATTGGCCGTTGCGAGCGGACGGCACAAGGAAATCGTTCCGATTGTCCCTTGACTTCCGGGGCGACCAGGTGAGCGCCGAGCCGACGATCATCGAAGGTGAAGCGCCACCCGCGTGGAGACCGGTATGGCGCATTGAGGATAGCGGCGGCGAAATGGTAGCGCGGGATATACGACCAACCGATCCCAAGGACGTAGCCGAACCGGAGGTGCTGGTGCCCCGACCGGGGCGAGTGTACGTGCTGAGCGACAGCGAGGCCAGCACCGAGGATGGGAACAAGCCGCACGGGGACGAGCCAGTCCCATCGACCAGCGGCACACTAGCGCCGGCCAAGCCGGAGGTTCCATTGCCGCCAACGCCCTCGCCCCACTGGATTAGCGTCGGGGTGAATTGTGTCCAGGTGGACGTGCCACCCGACCGGGAGTCGGAGGAATCCGAGGGAGAAACCGACGGAGCGGAGGAGGTGCGGGTCCCAAAGGGACAAGGCAAAGACCTTGCCACATGCCGTAAGCTGATGGCTGTGAGTCAGCGGGGAGCGGCAAAGTCGGCCCAGGAAAAAATCCGGGGCCAAGCCGATGACGAGGACGTGGCCCGCCGGGAGAAGCGACGGGAGCGCGACCGGAAGAAGAGGCGCAGGAAGGAGGAGAGACAACGCGTGGAGAAGCGCCGACATTCAGACGCGAGCCGCGCCGAGAAGCAAGACTCCGAGGTGATCAAACGACCTACCGCGAAGTCGACGGGGAGTTTGCGACCGTGCGCAAGCGCGGTTCGCGTAGCGCAGTCCCAGGAGCCCAAGGTGGTGTTGCGGCGCCTGTCCGAGGAGGCAATACGGCTACTGGCGGGGCAGATGCAGGCGGAGGGCGCGATCGTGCCGGTGGAAGGCACGGTAGAGAAGCCGGGACCGCCGGGTGAGGCGACGGTCGCGGTTACCCAGAGCCCGGGGACCCACGAACGGGGCCCGACACCGACCGACGAGCTTGGTGTCCCGACTGATCTGAGCGCGCTGTCAGAGATCGTGGCGATGTTGGAGGCGGAGCTCCCCGAGATCCCGGAGATGGAGGTGCGCGCCCACGAGGAGCTGGAGGACCACGGGTCGACGGTGTCCTTCCGGAGCCCGGAAGGCAGCAGCGGCTCGGAGACGGGCGAGGTGGAGCCACGTCCAACCTAGGTTAAGTTAGCGTTCGCGTTCCGAGGATGGGGGCAAGGTCGGAGGAAAGACCCAACTCTGGGAGCTGCATTTTACGTTCCCGATTCCTTTTTTCGTTTCTGTTTGACTTTCTTATTGGATCACAGCCCGCAGAGCGACCCCATCCGGCGCTCGATAGATTTAAGTTAATACGCCGCGCCATTATTTAATAGTCTTTTTCTTTTCGGTTAATTGAAGCTCAAGCAGCGTGACTCCTCGTTAGGAGGTATTGATTTAGTTCTTTTGCAACGCATTTTTATTTTTGTCCCGTCGGCGCGGATACGGGAGGTCATGCGGCGGCATGACAGGGCTTGAGCCCAATCACAATTTCCAGGAAAAGGGGGCCTCCCGTGCGAACGACCGGGAGACGCCCGTATCACATGATGGACCAGCTGTGACGACCTACGGAACGGAAGGACGGCGTGCGGCGTAAGAATGGACCGCGATGGCGGATCAGCGATTGTAGAATCTCGGCGATTGTCCGAGACTCGAGTAGGTAGATGCGCGCCACGGAATGGCGGAAATCGCGCGCGAACGCAAATTAGCGGACCGTCCGGGAACTCGCCCCAGGTGAGTCATCCCCGAGGAATAGGCATCCCTGACTCATGGGGGCACACCGCCGAGCCCACGAAGCCGGGTCCCGATGAGACCCGCCGCCCGGGTGACGAAATGGCGGACCGTCCGGGAACTCGCCCCAGGTGAGTCATCCCCGGGGAATAAGTATCCCTGACTAACAGGGACATCCCCGAGAACGGTCATATCCGGTCGCCGTCGAAATTCGACGACCGATAACAAAGGTACAGAACCGTCCGCCATCTCGCAACCTGGACATCTTCCACGGGGAAGGACCGCAGAAAACGTAGTACCAGGTGCGAAATGGGCGTCGGGAGGGGTCGGCGTCGTCGGCGGGCCCGGTGCTCTGCGCCCGGACGTCTTCTCCGGGGAGGTCGCCCGGATGGGGATCGTGGACGGGGTGAGCGACCTGGCGCGCGGGTCGGCGTCATCGGCCGCGCGGGGTTTGGGAGGGTGAAGGGCGGCTGCCTCGTTGCCGGGGCGGGGCGACCGCGCGAGCGCGGCGAGCGTGGGGGTTTCCGCGGGGCTCGGCGCGAGCGGCGTGAGCACCCTCGTGGAAAATTACCGAAGGCTAATGCGCAGTCACCGGCAAGAGAAAGCGGAATCCGTCGGAGTGGGGATGTACGGGACCGATAGTGGGGAGCTCGAACGAGACAAACAACTCGAGGCAGTCTGTCGGGGATGTTCGAGCGTATAACACGTAATCAACTTCGCTCTGTTTCGTCGCGCTAAGTCACCGCGATCGTCATACAAGTGCTACAATTACGGCTCGCCAACATTCGTAACAACCGGCAACGCCCGCGAAACGCGTTAACAGTCGTCCATACAAGGACGAACGGCCTTTTTAGACCGAAATAAGATCGTGCGTCGTAGATAAACGGGGCGTATGTGCCCACGTATCCGAGCGTCCGACATCTTTTGTGACTTAAAGTTTTGTGAACAACCAACACTGGAAATCAATATAATTGAATAAATTATAAATCCTTTTCGTAAAAGATTTCGAAAATTTATTAAATTGGACTTACCTTCTACTTACCTGATCCATTGGCGTCGATCACTCGAAGTCCCTCGTTGATCCTGGATTCCGGTGGCAGCGTTGATCCTGATCGATGACGGCGATGATCCAGCGGTGGCAGGAACCTGAAAAAAGAAGAGAATTAGTCTAATTAATGATTCGAGAGATCGTTCGATACTTACCTTCTCGGTGGTTCAAAGGTCAAACCGAGTGGCGACCGTTGATTTCTAAGGACACGTAGCGTTGATTCGTGCATCCTGTAGTACCGTCCGGTTACAACCTAACCTAACCTAACCTAACCTAACCTAACCTAACCTTTTTTTTTTTTTGTTTCGTGGAAGAGAAAAAATGCCTCGCGCATTCTACCGGGGGCCGTCCCCCAGGATATGTGGGGCTTGCACCCACTAAAAAACCTCTCCCAAACATTTAGCACGCTGGACAACAGTTACGACACGCAGGAGACTCGAGGTATTACGTCACGTGTCACAACAGTCCTCTCGCAGAGGCGACAGAAAACGTAAACCGGAGACAAGATCACACGAAGGATCAAACAGGGGCGCCGCGAAACCCGCCGGGATGACGCACTAGTCGAAAATTTGGCACAAGTGCCAATGTTCGACCGCCTCAGAGGTCCTCATGATAGTGACCGCGGGCAGTCATATCATTGAGGACGCTCTTCATTGGCTGCGAGGCCATTCCATAGGGAATCATGGACGTCCCTAGGAAGAACGCACAGGGCCAAAGGACATGCACGTACCAAACGAACAGGAACCCCCCTACCCGGAGAGAGGTTCCACACAAAATCAAAACACGAGCAGCGCTCGTTAACATTGAGGGTTAACATAAACCCAACACCGGGAAACATTCGGACTTAGTCCGCATCACGGGCCGTTATAACGGCTATAGTAGGGATCGCGTCCGTCCCGCCCCCAGGCCTCCCAGAAGGGGGGGAGAGGGAGAGGGAGGGGCGCGAAAAGAGAAAAGTTTCCAAGAGCCTCGCCGCAGGCCGAGGAAACCCCGAAGGACGACCACCCGCACCCCGCAGCCACAACGGGGCCTCCGGCAAACCCACAGCGGAGCAGTGGGGCCGGAGCCCCGCAAGCACAGCGGTGAGCGGCGAGACCACGGGCGACCGACCCCCAGGGAACCCCCGACCCATCGCAGCGGAGCTCCCAGAAAAGACAATTCGAAATGCTTGTGTATATACAAACTGATACTATTCTAAGTTACAGGGCCATCCGGCCGCCCATAGGGAAACCTGCACGCCGACCGCCCTCCACCCACCACCCCCCAGGGATCCGGGAACGTCGCAGAAGCGACGCACCGGACCCCAGGAGGAGGAGAGCGAGAACCGGCCCGCGCCCGAGCAAACCAGGAGCGACAGGAGAACCCCGTCCGCACGCAAGTAAATAAATAAATCGTAGAGAATAAATAAATCGCACACAGAGATAACCGTACGCAAAAACAAGGCCGCCATGAAAACGCAAGTAACGCGACTATCCCTGATCGAGGGCCTGTTGCTGTCTTCTTCGCTCGTCCTCCTCCTTACGCTGGAGAACCCGTTCGACGAAAACCGAGAACGCGTTCCATCGTTCTTTAGAGATAGAAATTCTTGCAATGATGTTCCTCAAAGAGAGGTCCTGTCCGATAACAGCGGTGAGCTTGCCACGTTCCAAAGCCCAGAAGTGACACACCTCCAAGGTGTGCTCCGGCGTGTCTTCCTCCGAATCGCAGTACCGGCATATTGGGGAGTCCTCCTTACCGATTCTGTTCAGGTAGGTGCCGAAGCATCCGTGCCCTGTTAGGAATTGTGTAATCCTATATGTAAGGAAGCCGGCACTGCGATCCAACCAATCATCGAAGCTAGGAGCGATAGCCTCCCGAGTTCTCCTACCGGGGAGATTGGCGCGTGTGACATGAGCGCGCCATTGATCGCGCAGCGCGTCCCACTCCTCCTGACGTACGGCAGGGGCCGACACCTCGTTATAAGTACCGTTCTCCTTCATTCTACGATGACGAAGGTACGTTCTCTTTAGGAACTCCGCATACAAGTGAAGGGGCGGGACCCGGGCCAGCAACGTGGCCGCCTCATATGAAACCGTGCGGTATGCCATTGTGGTTCTCAGCGCCGAGAGGCGAAGTGCGCGACGCATCAATCTCTGCTTGTTCTCGGAAGCTAAGAACTCTTCGCTCCAGATAGGGGCGGCATAGAGTGCGATCGATGTTGCCACAGAGTAATATAAGCGGCGTTTGTTTTCCACCGGCCCTCTGAGATTCGGTAGGATCGCGCACAGAGCCCGGTTCACCCTCGAAATCTTCTCGGCGACGTAGTTCACGTGTGCATTGAAAGCCCAGTTCTTATCGATTATAACTCCGAGATACTTCATGTTGGTCGAGATTTTGATGTTCTGTCCCTCATAAGCGAAAACTGAATTACGGGGGCAGTGACCGAAGAATACGGCCTCTGTCTTGGGCCAAGAAACAGACAGGCCAAGGTCTCTTATGTTTATCATAAGTCTGTCCAGACATTCTGACGCAAGAGCACATGCGGAATCAAAATCCTCTTCAGCCACCAGCAACAGAGTATCGTCGGCGTAACACACGACGTGAGAATCGCCCGGAAGCAGGGTACGCAGCACCTGATCGAAACCCAGGTTCCAAAGCGGAGGACCCAGCACCGAGCCCTGGGGAACCCCTCTGTTGACCCGCCTGGTGCGCTTGGTACCGTCCGACGAAATGTATCTGATGGTTCTATTTCTCAGATAGTCTTCTATAATACGTCTTAGATATTTCGGGAGACGCTTGTTCCTCAAAGCAGATCTGATCCTTGAGTGTTTTATAGAATTAAACGCATTTTTTATGTCTAATGAGACGGCAAGAACAACTTGACCGTTTGCGCGAGCCTCGGTAATTATATTTTTCACAAGAAAAAGAGCGTCTGTAGTGGAACGCATTTTACGGAAGCCGAACTGGTTAGCCGAGAGGTCGTATCTGGGATTCCGCTCAAGGTGATCGGCCAAGCGATTGGAGATGACGCGCTCAAAAACTTTACCCGTCTCGTTCAGCAGGCAGATCGGCCTAGCTTTAGGGACCTCACCGCGAGGTGGAATATCCCCCTTAGGAATCAAGACTAAGTCGGCGACCTTCCAATTAGATGGGAAAACCCCGGACTGCATGCAGATATTAAAACTGGTAGTTAGTCGATGTATCATGCACGGAGGCAACTTTTTAAGAACGGTCGCCTTGAAACCATCGGGACCAGGTGCCGTGCTTGTGGTCTTCTTGGCTGCGATTGCCTCTTCCACCTCGTCAGAAGTAATTGGAATTCTCCCCGTCTCACAGTCCCCTAGGTCGACCCGGGAAAGCTCCCTACCAAGAGGAAATAAATCGTCTAGCAGACGGCTCAACACCTCCGGCTCAAGGATGGAACTGAGCGCGGGAGTGGGCTTCCTGAGTTTACCCATAACTAACTTGTAAGGGAGACCCCACGGATCATCCCTGATTGTGTCGATGAGCTCCTGCCATGCAACCGACTTAGCGCTTTGGATCTCGTGCTTCAGATTCTGCGTGGCAGCCATGTACGCAATCCTCTTGGCCTCCAACACCACCGGAGAGTCTTTACGTCTACCACGGGTCCAGGCCCTCCTCGCGGCGATAGCCTCGGTCCTCAAGCGCGCAATCTGTTCGTTCCACCAATGGGCCCTGTCTACTCTAGCAGCGCGTAGACGAGGGACCGCAGCCTGACAAGCATCGTGGATGCAATTGTTAATCCACTTGTCTGGATCAATTCTATTAAAATATTCCGGGTCACCGGGAGTGACTGCGCACCTCCATTCTATGGCTTCCTGGAAAAGCCCGACGTCCATCTTCCTGAAATTCCACCTTCGAGGAAGTGGTGGCGCTATACGTCGAGAAAGAGAGTCCGCAATCACAAAAGAGATATACAGATGATCCGACATGGATTCCAAGTCCTCACGGACCGACCAATCGCGCACCCT